GAGGAAGGAGAAAGGAAGGAGGGAGAAGAGAAAGCGGAGGTTGGTGAGGAGGAAGAAGACGGCAGCCATAGCCGGGTGAAGCGTTGACCGGAGTTGATCGGGAGTTGACCGGAGTTGACCGGGAGTTGATCGGAAGTTGATCGGAAGTTGACCGGGAGTTGACCGAAGTTGATTGGGAGTTGATCGGAAGTTGACGGGGAGTTGACCGGGGGTTGACTACAGCGTTGACCAAGTGGAGACCGACGTTGACCGACCGTTGACCAAGCGTTGACTGAAGTTGCTGATCGTCAGTTTGACCAAGCTGGAGTTGGTATATTCTTGCCAAGCCTTCAGCCTATCCCCTCGCCCTATGGATGCGCACACACCCTGTGGTACTTGCTGAGTCTGTCTGTCTCTTCTTTCTGCATTGAGTCTCTTTTGTCCAGGTGTAGGAACTCTGTGGATAGGCTCAAGAGGAGCAAGTCGCCGCCATTCTAAGAGAGAAAAAAGAGAAGAGGGAGAAGAAGGAGCTCCTTGAGCAGGCGAAGTTAAAGATAATAGCAGAGGAGCAGGTGGCAAAGAAGAAATGGTTGGAGGAGGAGATGAGGAGAGTACAACAGGAGGAGGAAGAGAAGATGAGGGCTGCAGTAGAAGAGGAAGGGGTAGAAGAGGAGGAGGAGCCAAAAGAAGAAGAGCAGGCCCTCGAAAGGAGGCGTATGGGAGGAAGAGGAGAAAGAAGTGGCACGAAGGGTGATGTCCTGTGGGTGGAGAAGAAGATCTCAGAGTGGGTGGCTAATTTATCTTTAGGAGAAGATGAGGAGGCGATGTTGTATGTACCTCCGAAGGAGAAGGAAGGAGCAGCGAGGGAGATCAAAGCAGCAAGCGATCCCCTGAAATGCCAGACAATTGAAAATGAGAAAAAGTTGGAATGGAAATTGCGTCTGGCGAGAGAGAAGAAGAGGAGAATGGAGGAGGCTAACCGGATGGCCAGGGAAGTGGAGAGTTTGCAATCGTGTAGACAAGAAATAGCGGCCCAGCCTGATATACAGGCTAAGTTAGACAAGATCCTTGGGAGCATTGAGCTCCTAGGTCGTGTGTGGATTGAACAACATCAGTCTGTTAGGGGCCAAGACATGGCCCTCCATTCCATCCGGACCGGGTTTCGAGAGTTTGCGCGCGACGTGGTGACCTATGTCGGGATCGAAGTTAAGAGGCTGAAGGAAGGCGCGGGCAAATTCTGTGCAGGCGCCATTGAGGGCGCCAAAGTAGTGGCCACGGCAGAGGCCGAAGCATGTCCCCGCAAAGAGCATGTCAAGCTCAAGTTCCCTGATTCTTATAGCGGGAAAAAGGACGACAACTTTGATAACTGGGAGGCCAGTGTTAACACGTACGTGTATTTGCAGCGTATAAGGCCAGAGGAACAAGTCCTTGTGGCCTTCCATCCGCTGAAGGATGAATCGGCCAGCTTTGCCAGGTCCCTTGGGCGTGCAGCAAATTGTGAGCACAATATGGTTACGTACTCTAAGCTCACATCTCTTCCCACGTTCCTCAAACTTTTGAGAGAGAGGTTCGCTGACGTCACAAGAGGCGTCAAGGCCTCTGATAAGCTTCAAACCATCCACTCTAGGCAGTGGAAGAGTGTGAGGCACTCAAGGCCGTGATGGACGATCTGGTAGCCATTCCAGATCACGGGGTCAATAAGACCCAGTTAGTTAACTTGTTTTATCGTGCCATGCCAAAGCCCCTACGAGGGCACTTCTTTGATAAGACCCAACAGGCCAATATTACGTATGATGCGTTAAGTAGAGAAGTGGTCTTATTCGAGGCAAAGTCCATGCCAGTTTCCACTTTTTGGCATAAGGACTTGGGCAAGGGGAAGAAGTGGAAGAGACGTACCATCTCAGAATAGGTTAGGGTCAAGGATCATCTGATCCTTGCTTTAGATGAGGGCGGTACAGACGAAATCCCCTACAGTCAGATTGAGTGGGGGCTAGAAGAGGAGGACAGTAGTGTAGGTCAGGGGAGGACGTACGCTGCTGTCACGGCTGGAAGGAGGCCGCAAGGTAGAGGAGGAGGCCAAGGCCAAGGGGGTCGGGCCATGGGTGGTCGAGGTCCAGGCGCACAGGGGGTTGGCGGTCAAAGGAACCGTCAAGAGGGAGGTAGGGGTCAAGGTCCCCCGTCCAATCGCTCAGGGCCCAGTCAATCGCCTCAGTGCAGAGGTGGAAGATCACCTCAACGGACAAGAGGATGGCACCCGGGTTGGCCACAGGGCTGACCTTGGGAAGATTTGGGCTTAGACCGGCGTGTGTGGCAACAATGAATGGATCAGGGGCAGTGCATTAATTGCGGTGACCCTGTCCATATCATCAAAAAGAAGCCCGCTTCGCTGCCCAAGGGTCAAAAGGCAACCGTCGGTAGGGGTCGCAACTGCCCCTACCACTAGGCCATGTGGGGAAGTGTGTGTGCACCACCAGGAAACTCCCACACCACATGAGCCTATGGTAGAGGTTGAAGGCCAGTGCCTAGTTAGTTGTCCAGAGACTGCCTATGTTAGAGTCTCTCTAGGCACTTCCCTCACAGGTCTGGCAGAAGAGTTAAAGGAGAGGATGTTTGCCTGGACCAAAATGAAGAAATCGAGTAAAGGACAACTAGTTTTAGTATATTTAGAAGTATCCAGGAGTAGAGTAGGGGCCCTTATAGATATAGGGGCTACCCGTAGTTATATCAGTCGTAGAGCGTTGAAGAAGTTGAGGCTAGGTTTGAAAGTCCAGAAATTGGAAGACCCCATAGTCAGTATCCTCGCAGACAATCGCACGATGTGTGTCGAGGATTATGTAGAGGGAGTCCAGGCGTATCTTCGCTTAGAAAAGGGTGGGAAGGTAGAGAAAGTTCTCCATTCCCTGACTCTCCTCATAGAAGACAACCTCCCTTTCGATGTAGTCCTAGGTATGGAATGGGAAGAGGCAGCAGGGGCCACACTCCACTTAAGAGAGCATGAGTGTAGGCTCCCTAGTCCGTCAGGCGAGGTCAAGATTGCCCTCCTGTTCCATGTGTCAGGAGTAGATAACTCCCTGGCACATTGTTGTCTCAGTGCTCCCGCATTCGCGCGGTTAGTGAGAAAGGAGCAATTAGAGGAGCAGGTCTTCGTAGCCTGCGTAAGGCCTGTCACTGAGCCTAAGGAGGATAAGCCAATGGATCCAACCATTGCCAAGCTGGTGGAAGAGTTTAAAGACTTAGCGGAGCCACCGACAGGAGTAGTATCGCGGCTGATCCAGCACCTAATAGATATAGAGCCTAGCAGTAGGACTCCGAAGGGAGCAGTCTACAAGATGTTTCCAAGGGAGTTAGAGGAGCTGCGTAAGCAGTTGGATGAGCTCGTCGAAAAGGGTTGGATTATGCCCAGTTCATCTCCTTTTGGAGCACCAGTGTTGTTTGTCCCCAAAAAGGAGGGAGAGTTATGGATGTGCATAAATTATAGGTGTCTGAATGCGATTACAGTAAAGAATGTTGAGCCGCTGCCCAGGATAGACGATCTCTTAGATCGGGTGCAAGGTTGCAAGTATTTTTCGAAGATAGATTTGAAGTCCGAATATCATCAAATAGAGGTTCATCCTGATGACCAGTACAAGAGTGCCTTCCGGACTAGATATGGGCATTATGAGTTCATAGTGATGCCCTTTGGACTGACCAATGCGCCAGCCACATTTCAACGTTGTATGAATGATGTGTTTAGGCCTTGGTTAGATAGATTCGTCGTAGTTTATTTAGACGATGTCTTAGTTTTCAGTTGGACCCTCCAAGAGCATCAGGGTCATTTGCGCCAGGTCTTGGAGAAGCTGAGAGAAGCTAACTTCAAGATCAATGCAAAGAAGTGTGAGTGGGCCAAGACACAAGTTTTGTACTTGGGCCACGTGTTAGACGGAGATGGGATTAAACCTGAGGACAGTAAGATAGCGGCGATTAGAGATTGGCCGACGGCCCGCACACTATCAAAATTGCGATCGTTCTTAGGCTTAGCTAACTATTATAGAAAGTTCGTAAGGAACTTCTCTACTATCGCCGCTCCCCTTCGCAGGTTGCTAAGGAAAGAAGCGATCTGGACGTGGGACAAAGATTGTTCGTCCGTGCTTAAAAAGTTAAAGCGCGCATTGATAGAGTATCCTGTCCTCAAGGTAGCAGATTCGTCCTTGCCATTTGTTATCACCACGGACACGAGTCAGTACGGTATAGGCGCCATGTTGCAGCAGGACGACGACAATGGCTATAGACCCGTAGAGTTCATGTCAGCGAGGATGCCCTCAGAGAAGGTAGCTACCTCGACTTACGAGAGAGAACTCTACACTCTTAGGCAGGCCTTAGAGCACTGGAAGCATTACCTGCTTGGGAGGCACTTCAAAGTATATTCAGACCACGAGACTCTTAGATGGTTGAAAACGCAGGCCAAGATGACACCTAAGTTGACTAGGTGGGCTGCTGAGATAGACCAGTATGACTTCGAGCTCAAGTTGATCAAAGGCAAGTATAACGTAGTTGCGGATGCTCTTGACTGACTGGGACCGGTACCGCTGACTACATGGATTTGCACTGCCAACTCGATGCAGTCGCACTGCCGACGTACCGCAGTTGGGCTCACCACTTGCCCACTTGCCTCTGTCTAAACGTGAGCAAACTTCGAAAGGCCAGTACCGAGACCTTCCGGAAGGCTGGAGACTGGGCCTTTCGAATACTGTAGCAGCTACGATTTTGCCCTTTCAGGACTGTAGCAGCGACGACCTTGACTTCTCAGGGCACCTACAGCTACGACCTCTAGGCCTCACTAAGACCTCTATCCCATAGGTCTACAGATCGAACCCCTACCACCTACGGACCTACGACAGCCTACCAACTGTTGTGACTACACAGGTCATGGGTGCAACTCTCGGGGTCGGCACAGATATTGTACACGGGCAAGGTAAGAACTAGGGATCGAACCCTGGGATTTGCATTCGCTATTACTAATAGGTGAATACTGTTTCACTCTCGTCGGCCTAAATTCGAGGTCCTCCGAGAATAGTTCAGTCCAAGATCAGATTTTTACCTTTCTTTTCCCTCTCGTAGGCTCTAACTACGTCGGGGGCGGTTTCTAGAAGTTTAGTCCTCATAAACCAACGATCATCCTCGGGTTCCTGATACGCAAATCGAACTTTGTACTGTTTCTGTGGATGACCTCTACCTCTTGTTCTGAATACGTCCTCACCTACAATGCCCTGAATGTCATACCTTCCATCCATGTCCGGAGGGATCATGGATCTTCTTGATGGAAACTGTTGGCTTGTGACACACGACAACAATTTTGATGCATGAAACACAGGGTAGGTGTGGAGGTGCGCTGGGATTTCTATCGTGTAGGACGGCCCATCCTCTCCGCCCTTAACTTCTAGAACTGGCCACGGTCCTCTGTATGCGGGCAGTAGTCAGGAGCAAATTCTGTGGACTTGACCCAGCCAAGGTCGCCTACTTGGAACTGTGACGGGGGACGGTGTCGGGCGCATCGGTCCGGCACCGCACGCGACAGTGCGGGACCCTCTCGGCCGCGTCACGCAGGAGTTGGACCAACCTCGTCGCGAACACACAAATGGAGTTTCCTTAGGCCGCTCCGGCCGAGTGCGCCAGCCATACCTCTCGCGAGCCCCTACGACAGGATAGGGCCTACGCGAGGCACGGCTTACCTCCACCTTACGGGAGCTGTCACCTCCCTTCGGTGGGCGTATCCCCGCCGAGCTACCAGTCCACAGTACGAAAGCTACTCGGTTGCAATCGCAGAGGTGGAACAACCGAGGGCATTTCTCATTCGCTGTAGCATAGGGGGTACGCGCGGTAATACGCCTATCGGACCCGCACGCGAACCGACATCTTGGGGGGCTGGGGTCCCAAGCGCGATTCGTCGTCAGTCGACTATGACGCATCCCACACACCACGCGCACACCACTTTACAAACACAAAAATAAAACACACACACACGCACATACAACACGACACGACACACAACGCGACAACCCTCCTAGCCCCTCGGTAGCCAACCCATAACTTTCCGGCGCGAAAATCGAATAGGCGTCGCGCGCGAGACTCGGTATAAAACCGCGCGGACGCAGGGCTAACTCATGTCGACTCGCAATTTAAGTGTACGCAAGCGGTCGCAGTGATGGCGTACTATGTAGTACCCATACTCACGCGGTCCTCGTTAATCTTGAGGGTCGCATTCGACACTCAAGTGTCGGCTGACACGCGCACCACAGGTATAGACCTGTGTACCACCCACTGTGCACAGAGTGCAGAAGAGGGTTAATCTCTCGACGCTGGACAACCGCCATGCGCGGTTGAAGACCACACACCCTCTTCTGCACTCTGTGCACAGTGGGTGGTACACAGGTCCATACCTGTGGTGACAGTCGCTTCTTACTACCCTGGAGACGAGTCCTACTCCGGGCCTGGGCGAAAGTCAAGGGGTTTGACTTTGACGGCTGCCACGGAATACAACGTCCAACCATACAAACTCTACAAGCAAGGGTAAAAAGGGAACCTCCCTTCCCTCTCGAGATATAATCCAGTTAACCCCTATTCACACTCACAGTAGGCCTCTCAAGTACTCAAGGCATTTATAAATACGTAAGGGTTGATTATATAGGACGATCACTTCTAACAGTCACAATGAGGCTCCTCTCAGCCATATATGTATGAAATCGCAGGCAATCACATCCAAAGTCCGAACCACAACCATACATGCAATCACATCAAAGATTCAACCAGAAGTCCACGCACTACTCGGGGTCAACTTCAACCATTCCTCGCACTCATACCCCTCGCTTTAGCCATACAAGCCTCACTCGTGCAACTCTTAAATAAATACTCAGCACCTTTGTTGGATGGCCATTCAATAAAGTCAAGGTAAAAACACAACGAAACAATTCAAATCTCAAGGCTAAAGCCTTTAGGTTGAGTGGCAGAGGTGAATTGGAGTTGAATCGTAAAYCGACGAATCGGCAACCGACCTGTTATCAGTGACAACAGAAGAAGATCCTCAAGGGATCAAGCTGAATCTAGTCCATGTCCTGAATCAATCGACCCAGAAGACCTGTAACACATGGCAGGCCAATCCCCAAGCTAAATTTATAAGTCCTTGGAGGATAATCACGATCTCACTCCAAAATCTACCTAACTAAATCTTCCCTTAAGCAGTGTCCAAAGCAAAGGTAGACCTTGGCAGAAACTCCCCCATACAAGGTGGATCGCCAGAATCGCCACCTGTCAAAATATAATCTAACTCCTCTAAATCCATAAAATTTCGGCAGCGCTTCCCGTAGGAAAAGTGCCTTTTCAGAATTTATATTAGCCCAAATATGAAACCAAAAATAATCTTTGACTTTCCAAAGTTCAACTTTGTCTAACTCCCTGATTTAGCAAAAATTTGGGCAGCACTCCCCTTAGAAAATGAGACTTTCGAGATTTTTACTAAGTCATATATGAACTTTAGACAAGTGGAACTTTGACAAGTCAAGATTTGATCAACTCTTTGGATTTGTAGAAATTTCGGCAGCGCCTCCCGTAGAGAAAGTAACTTACCAAAATTTATATAAAGCCAAGTATAACAAAATATCCCAGAAAATGCGAAAATTGATCTAAGTAAAAAAACTTTGCTCAGAAAATGCAGAAATTGAAACCAACTCCTATCGCTTTAGCACGAGGCGAACCTCTAAAGCAACTACCTGTCAAACTGAAACTCAGACCAAGTAGTAGCCTTACTCAGTCACACGCAGGCCAAACCACAAAGGTAAGTACTCTCACCATCCCCAAACCAACTTGGCAGACAATAGTTTGTAATCTCTCGATGCTTTATTCCCTTATTCCCAGCTTACATAGGGCATAAAGTCAAACCGTCCAGTCTTATGGAACCTGCCTGACTCAGCCATTGAGTATACACGAACAGGTTGCACAACTGCTTCTCTCTTCCTTTTGGGCATATGACTAAGCCGTTCATCTTAGAACAAGGCTCAGCCGCCCCGAACTGTTTAATATCCAAATTTATATATACCTCTCTGAGCTTGGTGTTCAAAAGCTGGACATAGGACTGAGCGGTTCATCTTAGAACAAGGTTCATCCTGCCCATGGTTACCTTCAATTATACTCTTAGTTATACTCTCTTCATTTCATGATAAGCTATAGCCAGGCCGTTCAATCTTATGGAACCCATGCCTAACTAGCCTGTTCATAAATAGGATAGTATAAAATATAGTCAAAATTTAACCTTTTGGGTTCCAACATGTGCGAGGCTTTGGGCCAGACCGTCCAATATCTGGTCCTCTGCCAGGTTCGTTTCTCTCTGATCCCACTGTGTGCGGCATGAGTCCAAGGCCGTCCAATCTTATGGACATGCCTTTCCCTCAGCGAGAATTACTCCCTCAGAATGAAACAGGAAGGGGCTGAACCGTCCAATCTTATGGACTTGCTCAGTCCTCCTCAATTAAAAACAAAAGAAACAGAACAAACCCCAATCAAACATGGCAACCAAACCCTCCAATCTTATGGTACAGGTTTGGCCCCTGAAAAGTCAGCCACAGNTCTTCCTTTTGGGCATATGACTAAGCCGTTCATCTTAGAACAAGGCTCAGCCGCCCCGAACTGTTTAATATCCAAATTTATATATACCTCTCTGAACTTGATGTTCAAACATTGGGCATAGGACTGAGCCGTTCATCTTAGAACAAGGCCCGGCCTGCCCAGGGTTACCTTCAATTATACTCTTAGTTATACTCTCTTCACTTCATGATAAGCTATAGCCAGGCCGTCCAATCTTATGGAACTCATGCCTGGCTAGCCTGTTCATAAATATGATAGTATAAAATATAGCCAAAATTTAACCTGTTGGGTTCCTGCATGTGCGAGGCATTGGGCCAGATCGTCCAATCTTATGGAACACATCCGGTCCTTTGCCAGGTTCGTTTCTCTCTGATCCACTGTGTGCGGCATGAGTCCAAGGCCGTCCAATCTTATGGACATGCCCTTCCCTCAGCGGGAATTACTGCCTCAGAATGAAACAGGAAGGGGTTGAGCCGTCCAATCTTATGGACTTGCTCAGGCCTCCTCGATCAAAAGCAAAAGAAACAAAACAAACCCCAATCAAACATGGCAACCAAACCCTCCAATCTTATGGTACAAGTTTGGCCCCTAACAAGTCAGCCACAGTCAAACCCTCACAATTCAGAGCAATCAGACCGTCCAATCGTATGGAACTGGTCTGACTCTCCATGCAATCCAAAAATAAACACAGCTGTCAGGCCGTCCAATCTTATGGAACTGGTCTGACCCCATAGGACCCTGTCAGCCTCAGGCAAAACCACCTTTCACCCACCCTTCCCCCAGATGCACCCCCTTCGTGTTCACAATCTGCGTTCAGGCAATCAACAAACTGAAGCAGCGATTGCACACACATTCCTTTACTTAGTCTGACTTATGTCCCGAAAGTCAAACTAAAGTTAAAGTAGGGATACAAACAGTATACTCAGTCAAAACATACTAAGGGCAATACAGATAGGGGCTATAATCTGGGTCTATTGTGAGAA